ACTGTGAGATTAATCTGAATATTTCAGAGAYACTGGAGAAACAGCACAGATTTATTCCTAAGCAAACACAAAGGCTTTTTCTCTCCCCAGACAAAGTTCCTGGAAAAGTTCACTTAAGATATGGAGTGGTTTTGGTTTTTTTTTTTTCCTATAGGGATTGCAATTGGGAAGAACTTCCTATTTGCCCTGGTAACAGCAAAACAGCAAGTAGCAGAATCCCTCCAGCCGCTTCTCCGCAACAGCAATGCAGAAGTGGCTAGCGAGGCTTCCAGTTGGCTCCGTGGGATTCCTTCTCCAAGGATCCTATCTGCTCAAAGCGTGAGCTCTGCTACTGAGCAAATTCCTCAGAGCAAAACATCTCCACGCTGAGCGAGAACATCACAAAGCAACCCAGATTTCCTTGGTGCAAGAAGGTATGTACTTCCACACCAGGGATTAAAATACACTTGAGAAAAAGGAGTTTTAACAAATGGATGCATCACAAAGAACATTTCCAAGAAGAATGTGAAGAAGTCATCCCCAGATCACCATTAGCAAACGCAGGCACCGCTGGTGGCTGTTTTGCTCCCTTATCTGCTTGCAGGTGTGCAAATGAAGGGAACAAAAGCGCAGGAGGCCAGTGCGGAGGTGGCTTGCGCAGTCCTTGCTCACAGCCCTTATTGTCACCCTGCTGCTGCGTTAACTCTTCACTAACCTTCACACCCTCCTTACACCAGTTCCCATGTCGGCAGCTTTCATCGACGCATTCCAAACGACTGCAAGTTTGATTAATTTTTAATCACAGGCCAAGATATGAAGGCAAGAAACTTCCACAAGGAATTTTAACAAATGCACGTGGCCAACTTGGAGGACCCAGCTCCAGCCACCTCCTTCCCGCCTGGCACAATTCATAAAGAGAGGAAGTTGACGAGGAAGGGGGGGACTGGGAGACAGAGCACCAGAAGTTATGAACGGAATTTGATGCCGGGTTTCAACAAGTTATTTCTGGGAAAGGGAAAGAGGAAAAGAAAAAAAAAAAAAAAAAAAGAAGTCAAGGTTTTCCATTTATTGTACGTGCCGCTTTGCCACTTCCATTTTTGTAACTGCCTCGCGAAAACCTGCCCTGTGGTCTGCTCCGACTTCTTCGTTTCGCCTGCAGGAAACCCTTAAAACCTTTTGATCTGACGGGGCAGCAGCCAGCGAAACCTCTCCGAGCCAGGGCTTATCAGATATTAATGATTAGCTTAATTAGGGGAGAGACCCACTTTGGCCACCTTGCTTTACCCAGCTAATTAAGTACCACTTTGCTGATTAGCCCAGGCTAACCCATTCCAGGCGGATGAGGTCAGGGCATCGTGTCAGAACAGCGCCAGGTCCCGGAGGAGCTGGGCCTGGGTGTGGTGCTGCACTCTGCTCCGCTCCGGCGAGGAAAAGCCCCACGCTGCGACGTGGGAAAGCGCTGCCGCCGCTCGAGGCCCTGGGGCCCGGCGAGGAAGATGGTTTCGCCAAGCGCCCCTATCGCCAGGCCCATCAGTTTAACCCCTTGGCAGCGGGGAGCCGGCAGCGGAGCAGGAAGCAGCGCGGTGGAAGCCCTGACGCAACGCAAACCGACGCAGTTGCAGCTCGCCTTCGTACGAACCCTCTCGAGTCCACGTTGACAAATTCTTTAACAAGCCCTGTGGTTACAGGGAAGCTGGTTTCAGTCTGAGTCATTCCTGTTCAAACAGTTTACTGGAAATGGAGGGGAGGGGGAATTTTCAGAGAAGTCATGTGATGGCCAGACAAACCACAACGAGTGAAGGTTCAGCGGAGTCAAAAACAGGTCCCAGCAGCGCCCGACAGCCAGTGTGCAGAGGACACTCCATCGGCGAGCCACGGCTCCGGACGCTTCGTGGGGATTTAACCCTTTTCCCGGCTTGTATTCTTCCAAAGGAAGGCAAGGACACAATTGGGAGAGTAAACAAGCAGCAGTAAACTGATAGTAACGTAGGCAACTAGGAAATATTTTTGCGGGGAAACCTGGCTGCAACAACCCTGCACAGAAGCACGGCCCRACGTGCAAGTCATTAGTTCTTAAATACATGCCACTTACTGAATCCACATACTTACGGTCATTAAGGATTAGATACACAAAGATACTGCTTACTTTCTCTCAGGAAGGAGCACTGTGATACAGCTCAGGCCCACACACTGCCCATTATCACTAAGCACCATTKAGGAAAGCTTCATTTTCACCCGAAACCTCTACCAGCTTTAAGAGTTTCAGCATGACAGGGGGATGAGAAAACACTCAGCAATCAGCACCTCCGGCACCGTCAGACAGCAGAGCCCCTGCACACGTGTGTGCGCAGGCACGGAGCGGGGCCGAGCTCAGCGAGCGCTGGGTTATTAGCAATGTGCTGCCCCAGCACTAAGGAGAGGACTCACTTCCCCTAATTGCGAGGTTGGTTTGAGTAGCCGTGCTGGAGATATTCCCCCGCACTACGAAAGGGGAGCGCCGAGAGGAAAACGAAACGGCAGCGCTCTGCAGCGGGGCCGGCAGAGAAGCAGTAGCGCCCGAGATACCGTTTAAGACATCCGTCATTTTTAAGACACCCGTCATTTCTAAGCGCAGCGCTAAGCGGGWCCAGATCAGCCCGGGCCGCTGCGTTTCTGTTGCGTGCGGGGCTCTGCACTGTGTGCAGCCCGGAGGAGCAGAGCGCCCCGCGCACAGCCCACGCTGCCCTCCACAGACTCTTCAAAGTAAATAACATAAATAATATTTTACTTGGTGTAATTTTGAATGGGACACTAATCCTTTAAGCTGTTCAGTGCTTCTAATTTCCGCTCTTTTTTTTTTTTTTATATCAAAGCACCAAGCTAGTGAGCACACATTCCCCCTCACAAACCGTTCGGGCTGGATACATTCATAGCCTATTCTCACTAGAGAGGATCCTCATCTGTTTCTCAAAATTGCCATTGTTTTTGAGAGGCAGCAGCAGCGAGCCCRCTAAACAAAACACACGCAGGCAGGAACGTCAAGCCGCTTGGCTTTGCCTCCTGGGCACAGAGAGGGAAGCTGTTCTTCAAAATCCAACACACCCAAATCCAGGCTTTTGAGACGTGCAGGATGAAGCGAGACCTTTACGCTGAAAGGGGACCTTCTRTCACTTGACGTCAACCATTTGTAGTGGTCTCCATGGCATGAGACACTTGACACAGCCCCTCTTTTCTTAAGCAGACCGCTTGAGTTTTTGCAGAGTGGGAGATGCAGAAGCAGGCAATGAAAACTGGTATTAAGCAATTTAAAAATAGACTTTATAACTCCTCATGAAATAGCAGTTACAGAGCCAATAACGATAAGTTATGCTTACAATGCTGGGATTTACTCAAGGTCATAGGAACAGGCAAGCCTGTCTCCCACAGACATCTAGCAAAAACACGATAGGAGCCAAAAGCAAGAAGGAAGTCATATTTGCAAGTGGAAAAAACTGAACTGTCAGTTTTATGAGTGCAATACAATTTAATCGGATTGTCAAAGCCTCATGTTAAGAAGRTTTTATAGAAACCAAACCACAAGGGTAGTTTAAAGATTTTTTTTTCTGGCCATCCATCCACAAAACAACATGTTTCAAATCCAAATTCAGTTTGCCAAGAGAATAAAATCAAAAGTACTGGTAAAAAACATCATCATGTTTCTTAATTAATTACACAACACCACTTGTTTACAAAGGACAGTCAATACAGTTGGCTATAGCTTTGGCCTGTCCTGACAGATGCTCTCTAGCAAAAACTTCTGTGCGTTACAGAAACCACCTCTGGCTGCTCGCAGGGTACAATTTGCTGGGAGAGTTTCAGTGAACAGAGCTAGCATTTCAGCTCTGAAGTATTTGATTGATTTGGGGTATTTTTTTAGGTGGAATTTATTTTCATACAGCTGGGGATTATCTCGCAAAATAAATACTGACAATAGGACAAAGATCAATGCCTTTTTTTTTTTTGCTAAAGCATCTTTAAAGATTTAGAAGATATTTTACTATTTATATTAGCAAAAACACCCTTTGGGACTATCCSATGTTCTCACGAAAACAGGTTTTAATATGAGTTTTACTATATGGTATTAGTATTGCCGTATTACCAGATTGCACCAAATATTTCCAAGCCAACTGCTCTTTTTTGAGGGAGTGCCAAAGAAATGCAAAAAAAAAGAAATAATATTGTATCAAGAAAACACCCTGGCAGGAGTTAGGTAAGTTAAAAGACAGCTTTGCTGGTAAATAGCATCTGCTGTTTTTTTCATAGCAGTCTCATGACCCACTTTGGTTTTGGTAGACAAAACAAGAGTTAAGAAGGAAAAACATAGAAGAGAAATACAGTGGTGAAAAGTTTGAGGAAAGTATGTTTAACTTCTTTTAAGACACAGTTAATAACTTGTGAAGAAGATGCAAACTCCTGACCTGAATAAAAATCATCAACAGTAATATCTAACAGATCAGCACTGGTTGCAAAATATGCTGTAATGCAAGCAGCATCACGAAAAAAAGTAACAAGAACAACAAAAAGGGATTCAGAGCAGTTTGGCTACATTTTCACACCAGGAAAAATATGTTTCCTCAGGCTGAGGAATGGGTCATGCTCCAGCCCTACAGGCTGCTAGGGGCAAGGCAGGTAAATGTCATCTCGAGGGGATGTACTGGCTGAATAGAGTTTTCAATTCAGCTATTTTAAAATCGTGTTTATTATAGGAGCTCCTCAACCACCAATCTGTTAGGCCACTTTGAACCTACCTCTGTTCTGTTCTTGAAAGTTCAGAACAAAACAAAATGGCATTTGTACCAAATACTTTGGCTCTATAGCCCTCAGGAAGCTACCCTGCTAATCTCGGTGTGATGACAGGTATCTCTGTGCAGCAGAGGATCTTCTCCCACCCCGGGGAAGTCCCCTCTGAAGAGGCACCAACTTTTTTTGGCCCATTTTCCATTTCACAGGAACAGGTATTTATTCCCTCTGATTTGCCCCGTGCTTTTTTGCACTGTTCTTACTTGTGCAGTCTCTGCATGTTCCAGCATCTCCTCGAATTCCTGGTACTCCTCATCATCAGGTTCAGCACCAGAGAGCCGGGCCGCCCGCGCCATGAAGTATGGAGGCAGCTCTCCTATGGCCGTGCCTGCACCCTGCGGGAAGAGCAATTCTGATTCAGTCTCGTGCGTGTGCTAAAATCAGCGCCGTGATGCGCACAGCCCCCTGGACACCTCAACCGATGAGAAGCCGTGAACATACAGCAACTCCTGCAACACCAGCTGCTTCCTAAAGCTTCCTTTGACCTACCACGATCAATTCCCCCTGCTTTCAAACACAACATGGTCCCTCTGAAACCTCTCCCCCTTCCCAACCCCTCACGCTCCACGTTTGCGTTGCCAGACTGGGCTTTTCTCAGCCCGGGGAGGCTGCAGCCCATGCACCGACGCGCTCCCTGACTCAGCAGGGGCCGCGCTCCCCCCGCGCCGCACACATTTGCCGGCATGTGACAGCCCCTTGGAAAAGCCGGGAAGTCCTCCCGGAGCCTGGGCTGTCACAGCCCCGGCTCGTGCGGTCACAAGACTTTGGCGCAACCGGTTGGGAGAAAAACAGGCTCCGGTTTTACTACAGCTGCGAGCAAGGAAAATAAGGTTGAGCAAAGCCTCGGCTCCCTCTAAAATGGAAAAAAAAAAAGGCAGGCGAGGGAACCCGAGATGAAAGCACAGCTCCTTTTTCACCACAGGAAAATTATATTTGTTTTCTCAGGACATCAAATGACTCATCTCAGGCTTGTGGGTAAACGCAGCTTTAACTTAACCCCCCCAAAAAAAGTTAAGATTGAACATATGGATAAACAGAAGCTAATGAAACAGGAACTTGGATTAGACTCAAAATGGTTTAAATATAGGACAGGTAACAGCACAATAGTTGGGTGCCACACTGGAAAGGCGCTAAAATTTAGCTCCGTGCAGATGGCTTTTCTTTCCTGGGGTCGGGAGTAACAAAAGCTTCTCTATTTCTTTGAAGCAGCGGTAAAGCTTTTCAGCTTCCTTTGTTGCAGTCCCCTTCGCAGCTGCATGCGAGGGAGAATTCCAGCTGCTGCCGCCTCTACCCCGAATCCACAGGTTGCTTTTCAAAGCTGCTGAATTCCCAGCACACAAAACACAGCCTCACATGTTTATCCCCTTGTTTTCCACAGAAGAAACAAATGTCAACGGACGCAGCAAGCTGAACATCACTCATCTGCCTGTTTCTGGCACCGGGAACGATAAGGCTGAGAACAGTAGCAAGAGCGCTGCAGAAAAATTAACTTGAGGTTATGTTCTTAGGGTGATGTAAGAACAAAGAGTCACATTGCTGCTCAGGCCTCTGCCAATTTGCTTTGGCTTCATTTGGTTAACTGAGGAAGAGGTTCGCATGCGTGTACAGGACATGAACTTTCTTTAAACGGGCTAAGTCACATGCTTACGATTACAAAACCTTTCAGAAGCACAAAAAAAATCATATGATTTCATGTCTGTTGGAGATAGGTTCCTTAAGCACAGAAAAAATAAAAAGCACCAGTTCAGGATCGGAGCCAGTAACTATTTAACTGCTTTTTGTAACATTAGCTGTCAGTTTGCACGTTAAGGGTGAAGGTTTGCTCAGAGATTCTCTAAACTAACAATGGATTGGAAAACCAAGTGCTAATCAAAATTCTTTTGCACAAATACGTTCAGAAAAGGAAATTGGGAAATTACTCCACTAGAAAGAGTCTTTTAAAGGAATTTTGTCCCGGTTAGGACACAGGCTGCCTGTTCTGCTAATCCCGTGCAATTAAATATTTTTATTCTTTCCCCTTATTTCTTGTAAAAAAACACCAAAAAAAGCTGCAACGCATTAAAAACGTAGGGCACTATTGAATTCCTCGTCCCCATGGGATGGAAGGCTGTGAAAACTGGCATACACCTAACTGATTGTTTCAGAGAGCCCTTCTGCAGGCCAGGACTGGCGGAGCCAAATTTTATAGTGATTTAAAAAGCATCATTCCTGTTTCACCTAATAATTCCTTCGATCCGGGGATATTTAATCCTAGTAACACTCATTATCAACAAAAACAGCTATCATTGACATGCAGGGGAGTAGTAATGCCTTTTAATCTCTGGAATAAAACTGTACCTGGTTTAAGTTGCCTGAAACAGCCACTAATGTTTTTGTGATCTGAATCAAGTCCCTTGTGCAGATAAATCCCTGCCTTCGAGCCTTGTAGGATACTTAGTCTGGGCTGCTTTACAGCCAGAGATCTGCAAGTCCCTGCTGGGACCATCCCGCTTTCACCCTAGCACGTGAAAATGCCTGTTGCTACCACCCTCCTGTCTCCCTTCCAACAGTCAAGAGACTGGCCAGGTTTCATTCTGGAACAACACATAATTTTGCTTTACAAATCCAAAGGAAACAGGACATCGGTGCTATGGCAGCAGCTCCTCACAGGGCTCCATGTGCTGAGTTAGCAGCACTTCTATGTATACCCAATTATTCTTTTTTTTTTTTTTTGAGTCTATCCAGTGGTTATCAGGTAAATTCAGATTTTAGATTTAATTAGAAGTTCCTGGTTTCAATAGCAAAAAAMCCCAAAATGCGAGTTGATGCAGCTATGCACAGACTAGGAATTAATTTATGCCTGATTTCAATGTGAAGGGGAAAAATAATTCAAATCAAATTCTTTTAGCAACAAATTGAGCTGCAAAAAATCAGTTATCATCTGCTTTCCTTTCCGGAAGTCATTTGCTTTTCAGTATGGGGACATTTGCTTTAGAAGCGACAGAAGCAAGGGGAAGTTTCTTCAACAGCTTCCATAAAATGTGAACTGGAATTCGGACAAAAGAAACATACTGGAAGCAGCAGCAGCAGTTGCCAGTTTGCTTTGGCTTACAGGAAATTTGCAGGCGATGTTTATGTACTCATGAAACGTTCCAAGAAAGCATAACATTGCACTAGACACCACAGGGAGATGGAGGATGCTCCCAAGGGAAGTGCCAGCAGAGACAGAGTTCAGTGAAAAGGTAGTGGACAGGGAATTTGAAGGCAAGAGGAGAGGGGAAGGACAGCTAGCAGCCAGGCTTGCTCTTTTCCCTGGCCTGCACCAACACAAGCAGCTCAAATGTGGGGTGGAAGGTGCTCTCTGCTCTCCGGGAGGCTCCTTCCAGCCTCAGAAGATACAAGCCCGCAACGCCTGCAACGTTAGTAATTCATTCCCGAACTACTTAATTCTCAGCGTTCACTTATTTTAGCTGCCAAAGATTAAGCAATAGATGTTTACCCCGAGTTGCATTTTTGTTTTGCAACCCCAGAAACCTAAGTGTAAATGCTATTTTTATTACTCCAGTCTTCATTAAACAAACTCAAGCAGGAGGAGGGAAATAAAAAAAGGGAGTTTGCTTTCATGGTCTTATAAATACTTGCACCCAAAGTCAGTCATCTCTATCTACTTACCAAGCATTCAGGCAATTCTGGCCTCTAATTAGAAAAAGTGATTTTTATTATTATTTTTTTTAAATGCTACTTTGCTTCCTGAGATTGTTATAATCTGCTTTCGCTGTTAATACAAGCTACAGGCCCAAAGTCTTGGAAATTATTCATTGCTTAAGTGCAGGCAGTGTAAGACCTGACAGTTCCATATTCACTTGGGATACAGACACCCATTCTTGGTCTTACCTTTGGAATAAAGCATCTCGCAGCACATGAGTGCTTCATACTACGCTTTAGAAGAACAGTCTGTCTGCAGCTGATAAAAGATGGCTTAGTATTTACCACTTTGCTTTAAAGGTTATTAAAAGTATATAGGAATAGAAGAGACAAGTATGACCAGGCAAGTTTAAGTTCATATTGCAGATATATACATTACTGGTAAAATAATGGTCTACACTGCTAACAATTTCAGCATTTTTTGTGCACTGGTGGACACAGAAATTAAATACATATATTAAGAGTGTTTGAGTTTTATAAACAAAAGCTTACCCACATGCAGGCCTCTAGCCTGACTTTTGAGATGATAGCCCATAAAGAGATGGATCCTTCAGTCTCCTCATCAGGGCAGATGATTTGATCTGGGTAAGGCGGCTCAGGAAAATTAACTGAATTACATTCATATGCAGCAAGAGTAACTGATGCAATGTGTGGGCCCTGAAAAAAAAAAACACAATTTCACACACATTTAATGTTAGTTTAACTAACAGTTAAAATTAGAAGCATGTTTTGCTCTGATGCAAGGAACTTGGGTTAAAATATAGTGTTTCTTGCTTGCAATTTTAATTATTYATGTTAGACGATGGAGGTGATTTAAGTTTTATGCTAAAAGAAGTTTTGAATGACCGGGACCTCATGGCATCTAACAGAGCTCCTTCATTACTTCTGGCTCTTTCTCCCCAAATCAGAAAGCCAGTAATTCCTCAGTGTTGCTTAATCTAAGTCAGTCATTCCACGTATCCAAGAAAGTGACTTTACTGCCGTTTCCTAAAGATAGTTTGAAATGTAAATCAAAGTCTAAGTGTTGTTTAAATGTCATGCAAGTGAATTACGTACACAAAATCTTTTTGTGATAAAGAGATTTTGAGGATAGACCTCAAAAAAACCCAAAACCAAGAGAAAAACAAAACAAAATAAAAAGTCTAGCAAACACACGCTCAAAAATTCTCTACAGGAATTCAAGTGCTACACGCTTAAAAAGCCTGGAAAAATCCCCATTATTTTTACACAAAAGTAATTCAAATAGACCGTAGCCTGAGCACTAGATACAGAGATAAAAAAGAAATCATGTAAAAAGTTAAGTGACATTGTTGGGGAGAGAAAGTACTGAGCTCAACTTTATTTTCATAAAGTTGTAGATTTAAATAAACTGTTAAAAAATTATTTACATGCAGGGCAAAAATTGCTCAAACTTTATCTTCTGCTATTATTTGGTGCATTTAGTTGTCATCTTGGGAAACATACTGTCAACAATTTTCTTCTATTTCTTTCCCCTTCAAATGAGTCACAGTTTATTATACCAGTAAGGAAGCCCGATACCCTCCCCTCCGCCCCTAAATCAAAACTGAATTCGTACACTGGATTTACCTAGTGACACTGATGCTGTAATTTATTTAATGGCAGTGAAACAAGAGTGTTGAAAACCTGTCAGGTTTTTCTGTCTGAGAGCTGGGCCTGCTGGTGTCACACGCAAACCACCGCACAACTGGTGACAGGTAGGCTGTTCTGATAACAAGCAAGCTYTTACTTATTCTGGGTTGCTTTACAGGAATAAGCGCACTCAGAAATATTCTGGATGTAGATGAAGATCTATAATGCAGCACCTTGACGTGAGAAATTAGGAACATCAAACGTTCATTAATGTAAAACTAAAAGAGAGGCGCAGCTGATACAGCCAAAATTCATTTTCTATGGAAGGCAGCAGAAAGGAAGAGTGGAAAAATGATTAACAACTTAAACTATAGGTCTCCATGGCAAAGGGCTCCTTTTTACTACTTGTAGTAAGATTGTGCCTGTCCCAAACAGCTTCATCTCTAATAATATATCTACTTTAGTCATAGGGGCAAAGAGATTTTCCTAAAATTGCAGAACAAGCTTACAGCAAACCGGGGAACCTCTTTCTCCACCAGTCTAAAGCATCAAAGGGATTTAATCCTCTCCAATGGCTAACACGGAAGAAGAGCAGACCCTCCAGCCCCAGTTTCCAGCTACAGAAATATCAGCAGCCCAGGTCTCTCCGACAAGGGGATTTGCATGGAGGAAATCCCCACGTCCGCGAGGCGCAAACGACCATTTCCTACGGCRCTGCCGGGCGCAGCAAGGCGACATGCGAATCAAGAAGTTCAGCGTTTCGGTTCCACAAACCCGGGAAGACCGACCCCGCGACAGTGTGACTACAGCCAGCTGYGCCCGGAGACTGTTGCTTTCAGTTTTATGGTGTAGGAGACACCTCCAAATTGCTACCACAGCAAGGAGGCCCTCGGCCCCTGGTGGAGTTTCCGCTGTGGGGCTACCAGCATCGCTTTCCAAAGCGCACACGGGCCGTGGAAGGAGACCTGGGTACTCCTAGACAAGGAAAACCCTCTTTTTCAGTCCAGCAAGTGCAAAGTGCCTGTGAGCGACTGCTGACAGGCAGCAGTCCCCTCCACCTGGCAGGAGCCACTGGCCACAAGCAGTTCCTCACGCTGTTGGTGTCCTTGAGATGGCTTTTAATGCTCCTGGAATAGCCTTCCTGCTCAGATTTGTGCCCTGCTGTCCAAACGTCTGCAAATGGATTTTTTTTTTTTTTTTTTTAAACAGCAAGTAGCATCCAAGGGAAAAATAAAAGCATTTCGCAAAGCAGCTGTAAACGGCCAACAAGCCACCTGAAAATTAGGCTGACCAAATGCAACTCTCCCATTGCAATGTAAACAATCCTATAACAGTTAAAAAAAGAGTTGGAGTTACGGAAGCCACAGAAGCGGCATTTTAACTRCAATAAGAATTAAGGCATGAACAGTTGGTGTGGGGCAGGAGCGGGGCCACGTGCTGCCGGCCCCACAGCTGCTTTTGCTCTCGCCCAGTTTTACCAGGCACCTCACTGAACAACAGCTGGTTGGAGGGTGCCAGGGTTGCAATGGGGGGAAGGAAGAACTAGAGGAGTGGGAGGGTCTCCGGGTGTTTCATAAGAAAAGGGCCACTTTGCTTTGCACTTAGCAAGAAAGGGCTTAGCTGGGAGGGGAAGAGGGAAGGGACTTCACTGGGAGTGGAGCTCGGGGCCACCCCTGGAAAGCCCCGGCCCACGGGCGCTCAGGTGGTTTCCGTATCCTCCTCACTGAGTCAGGACTAAGTCACAAATAACCCTTAATCCTCTTTGCAAACGATGCTCCCCACATCTTGCTCTCCTCCTCTGCCCGGAGCCACAGCAAACACTCACCCTTGCAGGGCTTTCCCTCTCCTGGCTCCGTTTATTTCAACCACTTGAGGAAAACTCAGAAGGTTTCCCCACCTCCAGCCTTGCTGCAGCTCTACCTTTAGAAAGGACATTTGCAAAATTACTTCAAACCCTRCCAGGCCAAACAACAAACACCCACAACAGGCGGTTTAGCAGCCGCTCTGCCCACCAAACCGAGAGGAGCTGCTGAAATTCAAAGCATGTGAGATCCCAAACACCGTCTTCCCCTCGCCCTCCTGCAAGAATTCCTCTCTTTTACCCTTTTAATTGCAGGAGGCAAGAAGAAATTGAGAAATATTGCGCTGACTCGGGCGAGGAACATTTGCTTGCCACGACGGACGACCAGCAGGAGCCTGTGGTTCGGCTGGAATGCGATTTCTTACAAATATCTGCACAATTTGCAAATCAAACAAGACAAGAGCTGGTCATCCAGAGCAGCTCAACATCAATCTCTTTTTTGGCAATAGTAATTTAGGGGGCTATGGAAAACCCTATCTACACAAGCCTAATATCTTAAGAAAGGCACCCATGAACTCTTGAACTCATCGTCCCTCAGTGAGTTTTTAGTTCAGCCATCATCTTAGAGTCCATATCCTGCTAATCCTTAGAAATAAGTTGCTTTAAGTGCCATTTTCCAAGATTTCTAGAAGACTTAAATTTTTATTTACAGATTATGCTTGGAGTTTTATAGATCACGCTTTGAAAATCACCAATGGAAGGAAAAAGGAACATAAAAATAGGCACATGTTAAAAGAAAGTTAAGCAGAACCCTTAAAAACATGTGATTATGTATAATAATTCTAATGAGGGAAAAAAGGAAAAATGATTGAATATCCATTTTAAAAGTTATATTTTCATACTATTAATCATTTTGTGCATCTAGACTGAAAAAATTACAGCTGTAAATAACCTCGGCATCAAATTTCTTTTTCACATGACATTCACCCCATTAGCACTACAACAACTACATCTAATTTTAACATCTTATATTTCTGAAAGACACAATTTTAGACTGGCTCCAATTTACAAGTATTTCACAGAGAAGAGCGATACGTCTGCCAGCACTGAACCCACTGCTGGGCTCAATGCACTAAAAAACCATTTTCCCCCATGGATACAACTTTTTAGACTAGGTTCAAGACTCCACGGAGGGAAAACGTTCTGTATGTGATTAAGATAAATTGGAAAACCAAAAGCTGCTTCTCATGGGAAACATCCTGCGAGCGCTCCTCCAGCCCGCGACTCATCCCATACCTATCTCCGAAGTCACTGCACCTCTCAAGAAAGCAACACCAACTTGCAGCACCTTTTTATCATCAGGAGCAGTGGGCAGCTACCTCCAAAGAAAAGCGCTGCGTAGCTAAAAGGAAAAAAAGCTGCAGCTGGAGGTGGCTGGCAAAAACGGCAATCCAGTCTGTGCTGAGAGATTAAAAGTGTCTCGTGATCTTCTATAGTGTCTGGTATTACAGGCTGTAAAATGGTGGCTCTGAATAAAGAGAAGCCTGGACCTAGAGCATCCTTCAGTGACACAAACGCATCAAGCAGTCGGGGCTAGTTTTAGCACCGTGGCATTTCAGGCTGGGTATTCATTTTACAATCATGTGTCTATCCCCCTGCTTCAGTCAAGTCTTCCCTCGCCACACAGAGCTGCTGGAAATTCCAAGTGATGAGCAACAAGTCCTGAATACGACTGAACCAGAGTCACCAGGGGAGCCGGCACGTGGCATCGCCCAACACACACCAGGGCCACGTTGCTACTTTGAGGAGTAAACTGCAAAGCAGACCGTTTATAAAGTTATACCCAGGCTATTTTCTATAGGAGCAGTCACACAGACTCGGGTCAGGAAAAGACACAAGTGGATGAATCTAATTCTGTACACTGGGGCTGGCAGAGGACAGAAATAATCTGCTAGCATCATCTCCTGGCCCTGCGCTGGCCACCAGCTCATTCCCGAGAAATAAAGCACAGCATCTATTCAAATGGACACCAGCAGCAGTGACCAGCTTTAATGCCTCTAATTAAGAGTTCATCTTGCCCTGTTGTCCCTACCTGCAGCCTGTGCATGACAGCAGGGATGTGAACGTTTGGGCTGCACATGAAAACAAAGCAGAGGCTCCACGGTGACAAGTGGGGAGGAAAATAAAATGTGGCCACCCAGAGCTACGTGGCAGAACCAGTGAGGAGAGCACCAAAAGCAGATTAGGAAAACAAGGTGCCAACTTCTGAAAGGTAAAATCCATCAGCCTTCATGAGGAAGAAGATGGTAGCATGCCTAGTACATCATCTTCCCCCTTTGGTGCAAATTCAGATCACTACTGCGGGTCAGGATGCTCGTTACAGTTCACATCCGAATACACCACCTTTTCGTAGACTTTTCAAAAGTCCAAGCAGGGTGGCTAACCCTGCACAGACATAGGTGCTTCTCATCAGCTGTTTATTACCACAGCTCCAGTTTTAGATAAACCGTCCAGCCTCTGACGCGCACACGTCGAGCAGCAGCGCGGGCCATATATGGAGCTCGCAGTCACACCGCGCGGGCTCTGACTCAGAGGGCCAGCGGCTCGCGGTGGGGCAATATGAGAGGTTATTGCTTCCAGCTGTGCCCCCAGCCCCTCTGCTGGTCATCACCACCCTCGTGGTGGGGCAGCCCCACTGCGCTCGCGCCCAGCGCGGCTCTGACCACCCCGCTGGATTCCTGTAACCCACCAGAGCAAATGGGCCCCGGGCGCTCACAGCCTCCGCTGCGGCTGTCGAAGAGGTTATTGCCTCCAGTTTAATCCACCGGGATGTAAACCAGAGGCTCTGGGCTCATTCTTTGTATATACCTACTGCCATTTGACATATAAAACAGCAACAAAGGCACTTAAAGGAACTTAGACCCTTAATGAGCTGTTTTTTCCTTGAAAATATCATTTTTTTAGTCTCATGTTTGTTAAACACAAGCAAGCYACCAGAAGATTTAAGGAACACCCAGGTCACACACCGACCAGGCAGCCCCGCACAGTTAATCCACAGGCCCTTCCAGCTCGTCACGCTATCAATGCAGGAGCTCCCATGGGAATGTGGGCAGGAGTTCCCATCAGGAGATAGCAAAAAAATAAATGATTGCTTCAAGTTATGTGTTGATTCAAGTATTCCAGGATGTTCCAGCTCATTGTAAAAACCCTAGGACAGCTACAGGAAGTAGGTTTAAAGGCATGAAGAAAACAAATGAAAGAGTAAGAGCCACAAAATCCTCACACAGGCGGGCWCCATTTCACCCTATTTTAGAACAAATTTCAGTCTTCTGGACCCCACTGTGCGTTTGCTTTGTTAGCAACTCAACAGCAGCAGGTTGCGCAGAGATATTAGCCCCAACTGCTCCTTAGTTGAKTTTTTTGTGAGCTGACACGTGAAGAATGATACGGGCTGGTGACGAGGACTTCCCTGTGCAGGGGGAACCCCAGGGTGGAAGGGATGGGGGGCCGCAGCGCTCCCAGCACCCACATCTTCCTCCGCCCGAGGAACCCGCCATGCTCTGGRCTGTTCATCTTCACCTTGAATGATCCACCTTAAAAGGGCCAAACTCCCGAGGCTGACAGTCACTGGGGAAAATACTCCTGTATCCAAGTCACAAATAAATAGAAAAAAAAAAAGAGAACAAGTTCTGTGGGTTTCCAAATTATTATGCATACTTCAGAAAAATGGAGTAAGCCTTATGACTTTTTTTTTTAAGCCACTTGTGTAATTTTATCACGAGTCTCCTTTACAAGCTCAGCACCTGGAACTAGATAACTACAAAGGAATCACGTTCAGTTTAAAAGGAAAAAAAAAAAATGTTTTCACTAGTCCTGGCTGGAAAAAGGGTGTGTATAGTTGTTTTTTTAATGATTTACATTGAAAACATTTTTTGGCAAAGCTTGCGGGCTCACTATTRCACAAGGTGTCCGGATTTTAAGTCAGATTTTAAGCTCCTAACCTAGCTCAGTTCACACGGGGCCAGAAGGAGCTTTGCTCGACGGGGTAATCAGGGGACCTCTCACCAGCGCCCAACAACAYGAGGAATTCAGAACATGAGCGCAACGCTGAACCCCAGGCACCTTTCCAATGAGACCCTGAATTTTCTTTTCCCTTCTCCTTAAGGGCAGTTTTCCGCCCTTTCTCCTCAGCCGAGGTCACTGCTCCACTCTCTGTCCCTCTGCCGCGGGGCGCTCCTCTGGGAAGGCTTTGCTGACAAAGCCCAGGCTCTAACGCTTCCGAAGGGATCCAAGTCCCGCGCTCCACACCCGGAGCCCTGCCRCGGCGCCGTGCACTCCCTGCCGCGCTCTCCAGCCAACGGGAACATCCTCGGCCGCTGCTCCACTTGGCTCCCTCAGCGAGCCGAGATTCACACACGAGCGCCAGGAGCCAAGGGCAGCTTCGYGCTTCCGACCGGCGCGGAATCCGCTTCCATTCATGTGCCAGGGGTTACAAACAGCTCGGCAGCAGAAGGGGCATTTCCCACCCGCCTGGCGCACATGCTTCGGGCCGGGCACCGGTGGCTTCCGCGAGCGGGCGGCGAGGCCGCGTGCGGGGAGACACGGCGGGGACACGGCCGGCCCAGCGCTCCCTCTAGCGTCCCCCGCACCGCCCGGCCTCTCCTCCCGGCATCCAGAGCAAGCCCAGCACGTTCACCGAATAAGAAGGGTGGCTGGAAGCGTGACCGACTTCCGCAGCTCCGTGCTAAACACCTACCCTATGCCAGCTCTTCAGCTCCATGTCACTTCGGGGCATTGAGGGAATCCTTTCCCCAAAAGCCACATCAAGTTTTACATTTAAAATGTAAATTTACATGATCTGCAGCAGATCATATTTAGACCCTTTCTAAMACAGAGGAAGCTCTCGAGTTGCAAAAACAGTAACAAAAAACCCTATGGCCAAACTAACAAAGTTAACTTCTGCCTCTGACACCAAGATACATGTAGGATCCCCATGCATCCAGTGACCAACAAAACCCCCAAACTGAGGTTGGATTAGCTTGGAAAACCTACTTTGAGCAAAACGGCCACCTCCACACACTCTGAGYCCAGAATCTCTCCTCAAATTGGATTCACGTCACTCCAAAAAGCAACAAGCACGAGAAGCTCTGAAGGCTCCAGACGAAGAACTGTGCTCAGCACTGGAAAAGTGGCTAACCAGCCGGGGACAGCAACCCCCCAGGGTCGTTGTTACACCAGATCGATTGCATAACTATTTCCAATGTGGATTTACACATACACACCGCTGCTAGAGCTGTATTGGCAGGATTATTATCGGTTCTGATGCTTAAAGTGGCAACATGCTGTTAGGGCAATAAACTTCTTTCTTCTTTACACTCCCAGTGCCATCTAGTGGCTATGGAGCCACATGTATCCCACCCATTCAGCGTTTGTACCAAGCAAACAAATCAATCATCACTGTTGCAATGAAGTTCTCACACCAGTGGCAGCGGCCTAGATATTCAGCCAGGTTTCCCTGCCCATGTGGTTTAAAGTTTGATACAGATACCTGTAAGCCCCTGAAACATCCAAGTGGCCCTTTGAGGAAGACTTTTTGCTGGAAAGGGTTAAAAGGAGACAATAACATGGTCACCAACAGTATTAAACTAAGTTTTGTTTCTTAGGTGATGCTCCTTCATGCTATGTTTTGAGGGCTGTTCACTTACGGTTTCTCCTATGCATCCACTGGAAATATACTGAGAATAAACTCAATAAAGGGCTTATATTTTGAGTATACATTAATTTAAGTCAAGTAATGGCTTCAATACGTCTACTTGATTCACAAGCTCCACAGAATATCCCTAATAAAATAATTTGGAATTACTTAAACTTCTCAATTTTTAAATCCAGAGTAAAAGAGATGTCTGTTCATTCTACTTCAGTAGCCAACAGTACAAAATGACAACACTTCGGCTAATTCACATCAAATCAATGAACAAAAAAAGCCGCATAACCCACTTCCAAAGGTTTTTATAGTGTGCGTTCCTACTAAAGCTAAAGTTTACAGCTAGCTTAAATCAAAACGAAGCTAAATTTTCTTGCTCCCGTCATTTCTGCCTCCAAAGACTTTAAAAAAGAAGCTAAGAGATGCAAGTCCAATGTCGATGTGAATGCAGGAAGCAGAAATGTCACTAGATCTAATAGACATTGCTCTATTGCATGGAAAAACACGRGTTTCTTGTTTCATGCAGTGCTTTCTGCGTTATTGTTAATGATTAAAGTAGTCCTGAAAGTAAACATCTGTAATTGTCCCAAATACAAGATGACATTTGTTGCATAAACTGGTTTTAATTATTTTTGCGGCCATGAAGCCTTTTCTCAAATCCAGGACAGTGGTTTCATAAACAAGAAACTAATCCAATGGCCAAAAGCAAAACACACCCAAACATTTCCCTGACTTTCTTAGCTAACAAAGTCGAAATAAACAACATAATACAAATTCAGAACAACAGAGAGATTATTTTACCTTTGTAGCCAAACATATTTCTTTGCTATTATTTTTAAAGCAAAATGAACGCAGACTGAATTTTAAAATAACTGCCTATTTAGAGATTTCAGATAGRAAAAAAAGATCACTTTAGGCTACCAAAAGAAAGAATAATAAAAAAGTTGAATGGAAACACTTGGGCTGCACACATTAGAAAATGTTTTATTTAAAATAAATGCAAATTTTGACTCACTCTTTCAAAGTGAGGATTAACAGCAGGCTTCCATCCACTGCTCAGCATAAACACAGGACACAAACTACAAAACCAGTTTACACAGCACAGAAGAAAAAGAGCATGCAATAGAGCACAGATACATTAACACTAAGTATTTATTTTCTTCATTCGGAAGTACTTAAAATTTAGATCTTATGGAAAACTTAATACAAGAACTATCATACCTATTTCAGAATGAACAAGGGGTGAAAGTTTCCTTACCAAATAGAGCAGAAAGGTGTGAAGACCTGTTCCAAGTCCAACAGAGGACAGAATGCCCAGTCCTACCCAGTAGGCACACCATAAGAACTTTTTCTCCATATATCGCACATACTGAAAGGAAAGTCACAAAAAGAAAAAAAATCATGAAAGATTAAAGATACAAATTAAGCCACAGTTGCCACAGTTGATCGCAACAACCAAAACAGAATCCTAGATGCTTCTATGTGCTATTTATTATAATTGCAGCACAGACACACACAGAAAGGGAAAGAGCTTTCAAAACAAAAGCCCACGAATCTGTAAGTCTCCAAGAAAATGGAGCAAAATTCCAGGACAGTGAAAATCTCCAGCAACCACCTCAGGTCTGGATGGTGAGCAGCAGGTGCCTGCAGTGTCCCTGGAGCCCGGAACAAGCAGAGGGAGCTCAGGGTGTTGCCTGAGCAGAGAGGAGGAACACAACTAGCCGCACTCTCAGTTATGCTGCTGAATTTTTTTTTTTATCTTGGATCAGCGTGTGAGCAGGAAAAGTGAGTTCCAGGAAAAGACAAGCACGCTGGTTGTGTGTGGCTGGAGGCTTGGCACATCTAAGTGAGGTGTTACCAACACACACACAGATGCAACAAATCTAACCTTGCACTCAGCTTCATCCATGTGTAAAATGCAACTCATCCACATGCAAGAGAGGGAAGTGATAACAGGTGAAGCAAATACCCACAGCGAGCAGGAGCTCAAAGACACACTGCAATTTCAATGGGAGCCCATTTAATCCACAGCACGTGTACTTGAACACAAGGACTAGCGACTAAGAAAAGTAACTTGAAAACCTTATACCTGTTGATGTGTTCCTTCAACATAATACGTAGCTGTTAGTACTGCAAGCATCAGTAGAAGAGACACCAAGATACTTCGCCGATGCCACAATCTTTAAAAAAAAAAAACAATTAGGGTTTTTCATATTTTAGCATGCATTTCAAATCCACTTAGTTACCACCTTAGATTGGGTCTGGGTGGATATACTCAGTGGCAACATGGGCAGCTGTAAGGGAAAGCATAAGCCTCCCAATAAAAAGATCTAGGGAACCTCTCTTTATTATGGAAAAATCTATAATTTACTCCCAGGTGAAATCAAAATTCAGCCACACATTCCTCCAACCCTTTAAAAAAACAAACAACAAGTCTTGGAAAACAAATGCAACCCCAAAGCATTCCTTCAGCCAAGAGAGCTTCAAATACAGAGCCAGCAAAGCCACTCATGGTTAATGCAGAGAGCAAAGCAACCACCAGGCCCGGGACGAGCTGCAGGCTGGACACAGAAGTGCTGSGTTTGAACTCATGGCCAGGGCCCTGACAATAAGAGAAACAGATCTTGACACGATTCTGGTTCTCTTACTTTGCTTAAATTGTTTCTTGTGACAGCTCAAATGTATTTGTCAAACTTAGAAATACATTTTGGCTAATTATGAAACATTCAGAAACTACTACAGTAAGGGGAGGAAAGTGTTTCCTCGTGTAATTTGAGATCCAATTAATTTTGCACCTGTCTAGTTTTACCAGGTTGCAGCAATACTACGTAACGTGTATGCAGCTGTACATAGTTGTTGAGAAAACACTTGGACTTTGTTACTTTCTGCAAAAGCTATTATACTGTCAGCTAATGCTAAAAGCATTTCGAAAAGCAAGACACGAAATAACAAGTTACACGCATTTTAATCTATTTAAAAATAGAAAAATAAATATGGGAATTATAACCCACAGGAAAACATTCACTAATTTATCAATTAAGCAAGCTGAAGAAGGTCAATCTAATCTAAGTATAAAAGCATTTGTGCTGCTTATAGCAGTAAGACAAAAAATGGATTTTCAAGTGATTATCATCATTTAAAGCACAATGCAATGAAGTGAAACACAAGAGAGCCAATTTGAGGTCTCAAAAGTTGTTAATATATGGCCAGTGTTATTTTCTGTAACTACATGGCAGAACATAGGTTGCACTTGCATCCTGTAACAAAAAATAATATATAGGAAGCCAGCCAACAGTCAGCTTAAAGTAATGTGTGCTTTCGCAAACTGCTAGAATTGCCCATGATATTAGATCCCACATCCTGATTGTAAAAATGACCGTAAATTCAATCCCAATTGTGAAAGTTTCTTGTTGCAGACACAGGCACTAGGCTGGCTGCTACTTTTGGCTTTTTCACTGGTCAGTTTGATTTTACTTATGTTTGTCTCTTGGCAGACCAAAGTCTAGTGCATTAAGAAATCACTATGCACGTCAGCATTAGTAGAGAATATTAGAAAATTTCTAAGTAGCAGTTCTAGMCGAAATAAAAGTCAATTCTATGTAGTTTGTATATAATGCTTAGGAAAAGCATTTTAATAAATCATTTCCTACTGTGAAAGGGACCATGCAGCTTAGAAGCAAAGTCCTCTCCACAGTTTCATAAACAAGACTGCAAGTTCCACGTAATTCTGAACTCTGCCCTAGCCGAGTTATTTGAAAAATCATTTAGTGGCACTAACACATACATTAAAAGATCAGTACTTGACACTACAGGAAGAACAGCATCTCTTGCCTTCAGGATCCCTAAACACTGTCCCATTCTTTCAAATATTCAACTCTTCAAAAAGGAACTTTGCAATTCTTTTCCTTCAAGACCATTCTRTATTTAACACCTACGTAAATTAGGCAGAAGGTCTGGGTACACGGCTGGGACTGTGGTATGTTCCAGTAGCCACCTTTAAGGTACAAAAAGAATGTTTTCTAGCAGAAGAATTTTTAAAGTTGTGATTCATTGAGGAAAGTGAGAAGTCAGAATCATCTACTGAATCACTGTATAGGTTTCCCCAGAATGCTCAGAGTAATTAAAGAAATTATCTTTACTTTATGGTCCATTCCTTCAAGTTTATTAGGGTTTCCAGGAAAAAATACTGCAAGGTAACAAGTGGTTGTCTCCAGAGGACAATATTCAACCTCTCCTCTCGGTCCCTTCGTTTCCGTTCATTCAACAAAGAATCTGCAAATGAAAAGCAAGAGAAATGTAAAAGCACAGCCTGATTCCTGAGATCCCAACCTACCCCAAAACACTGCAATATTTGCTTTCTTTTTAGAGAATTTATGCGAGTTCTCACTTATCTTTTCTACCCCTAACAAAGCTTCTCCTCCAGGAGAACCAGAAATCAGAGGTGATCCCCAATAAATGGGGCATGGAGCCTTTTTCACTTTCACGTAGTTTACAACCATTCCGTAATCTCACCAGCCCCAGGTGCAAGTACTCTAGCAATGTCTTGGTCTTCATGCAATGAACCATCCTATTAGTTACATATCAGCTAACAGGCTCCCTCAAACACATCTCCATTACCCCTTGCAGAGACCACGTTTATTTTGAACTTCTGAATTCGATCCTCTTTCCAAAACTATTCTTAGACAGCTCCAATCGAACTGGGTTGAATTACACGTGCTCTTTACACACTCCAGCCACTGTGTAACTGGATAACAGCATCTCTCCTCCCGTCACGATCCTCAGGCTCGGTTAAAGGCCTTGCCCTCCTGGTCAGTTCCTCCAAAACAAGCTCACCACATAGGACAGGCTCTCACTAGAGGCCTGTTTTTAAGCCAGGCCTTCACTGGACTGACACTATGCATTTGGTTACTTTTAACTACAATAATGTCATTATTTGAGTAAACTTTCAGTGTCCAAAACGTAACATCAATAATTGTAGACGAGAGCACAAGTCTAGAGAAAAGGGGTTTCTAAAAAACATTTGTTATTTTGCATTCACACCCTAGTGAAGATTACTGAAAGTATGAATCTAATCYAAACCTCTCTAGTATTGTAACCCAAGCGATATTACTCCAGTCTTATTACAGYACACTGAAATACGCTGCCTTATCAAGTGCTAGTATTTACACAGAAATTGCATACCTCATTAGTCAGAGTAGCCCATTTGATTTCATATTCTTTAGCTGCAGGCATCAGTTATTTTAGATAACTCACAAAAATCCTCCAGTGGCAACGCTGATTAATATTCACAATCCCTCAGAGCTACAGGCTGATTTAAGAGTAAGTAAGGTTTCAATTGGTTCCATAAATACACATATCTAGGTCCTCTTAGATTCTTGCCACATTCCTGGCTTCCAAAATTCTTATTCTCTACCTTTCCTCTTAATATATCTAATAAGAATTTTTCAGCATTAAAGACATATGAAGTTGTAAAACACAAAGATCATAAAAGACAATGGTGGAAGGCAGCAAACCTTGAGAGAACACGTTGTTACAGAACTTAATTAAATATGGAACTGACACATTCAAAGCTGACAGAAAGCAAACCTGATTATCATTTTTTACACCATGGCACGCAATACAGATATTCAGTAACATGAGAGCTCTTAATAAAATGTTTTCAGGTTATTTCTCATGGGCCTTAGAAATTAATCTTGGCCTACTTTAGACATATCAGTAAAGAAAGATGTGAGGAAATAGTAGTTAATTGTTCAGTTAGTAATTTATGCTTGCAAACCATAAACTGCAGTGAAGTTAAATTTCAACATAAATGCTAGAAATTGGGAAACTAAAATTGGATTTGTCCCAGAGTAAATTTATTACCAAGTACTTTTATTACCATGTCCTAGCTCTCCGGGGCCAAAGGGTGGGGCTGTGCAGCCTCACTTTGAGAGCCACATATTGGCCAACCAAGTTCAGCTCTATAGCTCACAGGCCTGGTGCATCCCCTGYTGGGACCCCTTGGCAGCTTTACAGGGTTCACATACAAAAGAACTACAGAACAGGCACATGGAAGGGAGAAGAGAGTATAAGAGAGAAACTAAAGGTAAATGCACATCTTGAAACTATTTAGCAATAAAAAAAAAAAAAAAACAAATCTTACAAAAAAAATACAAAATACAAAAAAAATACAAAAATACAAAAATACAAAATACAAAAAAAATACAAAAAAAAGATTTATAGGCGACTAAAATCTTCAAGACTGACAGTTTCTCCCTTTGCATTACTCAGATATAAGCTGTACTGAGAGAAAATCCTTTCTGAGTTTAGTGCTGGCCACTGTACTCRCCAAGCAGACTGTGATTTTCCACTTACCTGTGAAGCTTCCATTATGCTGCTCTTTGATCATTCCTATGCGTCTCTGGTCACAGTCTGTTCCATTCTCTGCCATTTCATAGATCAATCACGTAAAAGAATCTAGTGTGAGAAGGGAAACAAAAAGCATAATGTCTCCATTTCTGGTTATCAAGACTCCATTTCCTCCATATTGCAAGGATACAGGCAAACATCTAACAGCTCTCCAAATCCAAATCACACTTATCCTGCATTACGCCATTAAAAACTAGAAAGTGATTTAATTCCCACAATGACAGAGCTTAAAACATTTCCACCTACAGAAGTCTGGTTTTGTCACTTAAATGAAAAGTCTCCCTCACTTTTAACAACAGAAGAAAAGTGTGTTAAACAATCCCTCCTGCTAATCAGCCCACTGTTTGGGCTGCAGAAGCAGTAGAGCTTCACAGAGGCTTAGGCTCAGTCCTGAATGAGAACCTTAAGATTTACTCCTTCTGCCAGAATTTTTATAGCAGCCCGGAACTGTAGCGTAGCCGAGGCAGCAACCGCACATCCCCTTGCAGCTCTCTGTTGTGGTATGGTCTCAACTGGCTCCGCAGTGGAAGAGGCAAAGCCAAGAACAAAGATCAAGGACAAAAGATCTAAACTAACCCTGAAATTCTAACTGAAGCTACTCTCATCCTCAAAAGGATCATTTCTGGCACCTCACCTCCGGACAGTCATATACAAGACCTCAAAATTATCACAGCTTAACTTCTCTCAGCATAGAAACCCAGAGAGAATGGTATCTCCTTTTGTTCAGTTTGACATCTCTAAACCAGAAAGGGAAAACTCTCTGATTATGTCATGCAAAGCTACCTGAAACACATATGTTYTCTCTGCTTATTGGCAGCTGCTCAGCCTTAAAAAGCCCCAACAGCAACTGTAGTTCTCCTTTATTTTTCAGGAAAGTGAAGACAACATATGGGAGGGCAGCTTAAYACAGAGAGCTGCAAGAGCTTCCCTCCCTCTTCAAAAACCCACCCAGAACAGCTTACAATTCTTATACAAGCACAAAGACAGTACCCAGTCAGATTCCTTGCTTTAAAAATCCTTTCTTAAAAGAAAATAGTTCCTGGAATTTTATCTTGGAGGAAGAATTCCACAAAATTAAAACATCTTATTTGCCTTACATTTTTCCCTGCAAGCAAACTGTGATTTACAGTTTTTGTTCGGCTTCCAAGGTTGGAAAGTAGTGCAATATTAAAATGATAGCCTTATGTAACCTATCCCACCCAATGGAGGAAATTAAAGTTAAGGGAAAAATACTTCTTTGCTTTATGTAATAAATATGCCTTAAGAGACAAGTAATAACTCAGGCTTGGTAAACAGGAGTGAAATCTCCCCTCTGACTTGGGTGGCAATCTTATCTTTAACATTAAAGACTTCAGATATTCATTATAATAATTTTACAACTCTATTATATAAAACATAACTATTTCAATATCTGAACATTAGAGATTGTATGCAGACAGAAGAGATGATCTCTAAGCAGAGGAAGTGAGAGAAAAACGCTGCAAGAAGCAACACTGCAGTGTAGGCACAATCCCTGTGCATTACTGTGATACAGATAAAATGTGATTAAAAGGGTTTTACCTAAAACCCAATAGTCAAAAGGCATCAAGGTCTCAGGAAAGAGTCCCTCCTCCAACAATCTTTTCCTGAAATTAAACGAACACAAATTTAACCATAGCTAGTTAAGCTTACAGAAACGAATCTCTTGCATGTTACAGTTTTTGCTCCGTGAAGCTAAACTTGTGGCCCCAGAAGACCTACCCCAAGGGGAAACAGCAAGACAGAAGTGGCAGTTTGGTTCTGGAAAATACTGAAAAATTTCATGAGCAACCAGAGGATAGCAGGAGACTGAGCTGCTACAGAAGCAGCTCCACAGCATCTCTCTGCAGCCACTCGCTCACAAGGGTTTGACCCAAGGTGCTGGGCACACGTCAGCACAGCGGCCGAGCTCCTCCTCTTACAGGTCAGGTTTGTGTCCCTTGGCCATCGCACRAGCCAGCGGGGTTGCACTAACATTTACTGAGGAGACCAGGCCAGTTGCTACAGTGATACAAGGATCAGGTGTTTGGCCATCTCTTTATTTCAGTAAGCAGTAAGGCATCGTTGCTGGTGGAGTATTTTGTTTCTAGTGACTGCACTTAATGGCTGCATATGTCTTGCATAGAGAAATGTGTGTATACACACACACATAACACACAAACATATAAAGTTACATGTGCAATGCTCAAATTGCAAAGGGTAATATTTAACTTSGGTATCCACAGTTAGAAAACCAGATACTTCCTGAAAGATTCTCTTTTTATGAAGCAAAAGTCATCAGGGTTSTTCTACACACAGCCACAGTGCAGAAAAGTCGAAGGGAAAAATCATATTTTATAGCCTCAACTATAACAAATATCCATTTAAAAAAGAAAAACCTTCAGGGGAAGCTAAATGTCCTGCATTTTTAAATTCATCTTTCTTTTCCCCCCCTCACACCAATTTAGCTCTCAGGAGAGAAGTGTCACTTGGTTTGCTCTTTGCATTCATCTTAAGGAYATTTCAAGGAAGCGACTTTACTTCAATACAAACTGCTCTCTAGGTTTGATGTTATAATCCAGGCTGTGAGCAGCACTCCCTTCTGCATGAGCTAAATTCTACTTTAATCCACTAAATACCTTACTAGCATGTAAAAATCACCAGTCTCCAAGGACCCCAGGTGCACTGTTAAATGCTCACTGCAGTTTTTGCAAGCCCCGCTAACGCCGCCAGCTTTACCCTGCTGCTTGGAAAGGCACTAATCTGGGATTAGCTTTGCATCACGCTACCTCAAGCACACAAGCCAATGTTTGCACCAAATTAGATCAATAATCTTGCACATTGGAGTGAATACTTTTAAAGATCCCAGTGTTCATCCACTCCACAGAAAAGCTCTAAAAACTCATATTTAAGGATATTTTTGACAAGGCAATTTGATTCTTATAACAGGGTAATCTGAAAGGGTGGCAATTCACAAACTGATTTCTTGCTCATTTCAGAAAAAAACTTCTTGGCTTACCAAAGTCTGAGTAGATTTTAAGCATCTTAGTATAGGAAATAGGAGGATACAGGCATCCAACAGACTTAGTTTTCTGCCTTTTGACCTGTTCAAAGCCCATCAGAATCACCAGTTTTGTACCAATATTTCCATATGGAGATTAACCCATTACTGGTGTAAGACACTGACCCAAAATGGACAGTTATCCTCAGGTAGCCAAGTCTACATCCTCAGCTCTCCTCCAGCTCTGAGAGGTCACCAGAGGAAACCAAACCCCAGTTGCCAAAACAACCCACGCTCATTATGAGTATGGAAAAAGACACGCAGCCTGCACGTAAAAAGAAATTTGCCTAACACTSTGTACAAGCAAACATAAACTATTTACAATAAAATAACGAGGAAAACAACTTCGTTATTTTTCATATCAGAGTCGCTTAGATCACTTGTTAGAGCTGTACTCACACAAAAACCTCTTTGTAAGGCTGAACAAATAGCCCACAAAACACTATTCACATTAGTGAAATCCATAGCATTAAGTATAAAGAGACAACTATTGCTAGTCAAAATGTAAACTGCCTAACAAAGAGGCCTATCATAACTGCAGCTGGCACTTCATAGCGTAAGCAGAACGAACTATAATGAGCTATCAGAGCATCAGAACATAACAAAATTCAGCACTGCCATTTCTGCACTCTGTAATCAGAGAAGAGGATAAAGTCTTTCCTTTCTGAGGTGCTGCTGAAGCACCTCGAGTTGACACCTAAAATGCACCAGGTTTAAAATGGTGCAACACAGCACTTCTGGTCTTCTGTCATTTCTCACATTTTAACCCACATACTCCAACCATGTCCAGATCCTGCTGCTTCCTTCTTCTCAACTTTTCTGACAGCACCATTCCTTCTTTTTCCTGCACATCCTGTTTCTTCAATTAAAATAAACACAGCAAGAGTAAAAGCCAGACTTGCACAGGTGCATAAGTGAGAGCACTAAACCAGAGAGCGTTATGCACCTGCGATACAGTTTTGTTATGGATATCAAATATCCTACAGTGGCAACAATTTACACAGGGAATGAATTAAGTTTCTTGGCCAAGTAAGAGTTTTGAGAGCACCCTCCTTCAAAGTTAAAGATTTTCTGCATGTGAACACATTTACATAAAGGATGAGATCAGTYTTGCAATGAAGCATTACATACCCTCTCRCTCCGTGCTGCTATTTCACTCTTCRCTGCTACTTCTGTATTGGAAGCCAACGGAACAGCTATACCCTCTGCTCTGTAGACATTCAAGCCCAAAGTGACTGCTCTTCCAAGCCTCCTGTCCCTATGGAGTAAGATAACACCGTTCAGCACATGACATAAAACCGACACAGACCCTAACTTGAAGGTTAATAACTTTCCTAAAAGCCACAGAAAATATAAAAAGTAATTGCTCGATTTTTCCCTTCAGTTCTTTAACACTCATGGGAGGTATTCAATTAAAATAAATTAGGACACATCTGAAAGGCATTCAAAATCTCCACAGATATATCTATAATGAGTAACTTTGACATAAGCAAAGTTATTCCCGTACTAAAAAACATTTTTCTAACTAAAATAGTTCAATCCCTCAAAGGAAAGGACAAGTAATTTAGTTAAAGACCACAGGCTTCCATTTTGTGGGTTAYGCCTCAGTACACCAGACCTATTTTCCAGCTTTTCACCAGATAGAACTTCAAAACAGTCATCCTACAATTTAAGGGTTTTCCAAAACATTTTATATATCTGCTTTTCCAAAAATGCTTTGGGATTCCTTTAGAAAAGAATGATTTAGTACTGTTGACATATTAGTTTTGGGGAAGCTGTGCATTTTTCTCTTGAGGTTATTAAAAGTTCTGATCCTGCCATTAAAGCCATATATCCCAAAGTGATCCCTCGGAGGAGTTATCTCAGGTGACACCCACACGTTGAGGGTTGTCTCTCTAGCACTGCCATCAGGTRCTGGGAGAGCACAGCAGTGTCGGTGCACAACTATGGATAAAAATGTAGAGAAGATGACGGGGAAGAGAAAAAACAGAGCGCGCAGGTCTTTGTGGTCCTCTCTTGCTGAAGTTTCCAAAAGAAAAAGGTTTGAATAGAAGACAGAAAATTAAAATAAGGAGGACTGTGAATATGGTGAACAGCCTGTGAATATTGTGAACAGCCACACAGATTTTGAATTAGACAGAATCTCAGTGAGATTCTTGGGTACCTCGTGTCCTCTCTCAAGCAGGGAACCAGGGACAAGCACTTACACACAGTGTCGATGGCTGCCACAGTAAGGTGTCTCGCAGCAAGGACATGTCACCTACATCCAAGAAATCCTCTCACGAGGCCAGATATGAGCAGCAGAAGTGCTTAGTAGAGAGGCGCAACACAACAGGGGAGAAAGAACATAACCTCACAGCCAGGACACTAGACTGGTGTCTCTCAGACCACAGCTCAGGCACGTGCCTCCTGCCGAGGTCACGGTCAGTCCTACAGCTGCTGACTGCACCATGCGCTCAGAGCATGGCAGGCAAGCCCAGCACCTTCCCCGCGCTCCCAAAAGACACGGAGGGAAGAAACGGCACAGGAAGCACTGCAGGATGACAATACCTGCTGCCCAGGAGAGGTAAAACATAGCTAGGAATATGCCTGGAATAAGCAGAAGTAMGAGCACAACGACAGCCTCCAGGAATGCTGCCTCCAACTGCTCCAGTCCTCGGCAGAGAGAGCAGATCTGGTCTGAATGTCATCTCTACCTGGCCTTCTCAGTGCTGGGAGACAGCTTCCCCTGCACAAAGATGCTTGAGGCTGCCCAGCCCTTAGAGCCAGAGGCAACTTCTGTAAGAGGAACCACTCCTGAGGCACAGTGTGAAAAAAAAAAAGAGGGAATAAAGAGAAGTGCCCAGGAGACTCCACAGAGAACAGGGGCTGAAACACTCTCCCGCTGCCACCTGAGGCTCTTTCTCTCCTCTCTCCTCTTCAAAGACATTACCAGTCTCTATGTTCAACCAATTCAGATTATGCTGTGATGGCCTGGAGGCCCCTTAACCCTTCAATGAGATCTCCCTGTCCCTACAAGGGGAAGCACAGAGACCAAGTTAGAGTCTTGTAAAAGAGCAGAATGCCCTTCCAACAGCATGAAACACACTGAACTGCCRGTCACAAATAACAGCTCGCTGTGCCCCGCTTTGCTGGTCAGCGTGACACCAAACCAGCAAGGTTGGTGCTCCATGACCACAGTTCCTGCCAGAGCAATATAGAAAGTGTTGCAAGAGTGTTGAGGCCGTGCCCTTCGTTCTTGCAGAACAGCAAAGTCCATCCAGCAGAATTTCTCCATGGGTAAGAGAAGTTAAGAACTCCAACTTCCAGATAATAATTTGCTGCTTGTCATAATTATACCAGGAGGAGATTGGCCTAGTGTCATGATACTCCAAGACTCTGCCAAGATGAGACAAAAGGTCAGTTCAAAATCCTTGACCCCRAACGACAGGAGGAAAAGTAACCTGGCTTTCCTAGTGAAAGGAAAAGAAACTTCTGAGCCATAAATGACAGTTACGAGGGTTTAAGCAAAATCAAGTGCTCTCCACTGACACTGCCTGTTCTGAAGATGAAAATCACCCAACACAGATCTGCTCGTTAGCAGCAGAACACCAAGGTTCCACCACACGCACCAACRTATTTGTTGAAAAAGCAGCTGACACAACATGTCCCCCCTCACCCAGATACTCATTATGAGAGCAGACCTCTAACTATGCATTATTTACACAGAAGGTTCTAGCAAGAAGCAATCACAAGATGTAATTACAAATAGTTACGACAGATTCAGAAGATACATCCTGCAACCGCAGGAAGGGGGGAGGAAAAAAAAAAAAAAAAAAAGGAAAGCCTTAAAGCTGAAACAGCAGAGTCATTTCAGGTTAAACACCAACACCTGCTTCCAGGGTACTCACCTCCCTGGTTGCTGTCTCACATGTAAGCGAGAAAGTCCCCTCCTCTCCTTCCCCATAAAAAAATTACAAGAACCAATGACTTCAGCTGCTAACTAAGACAGGGAGCTTAGCTCAAATTAGCAAGTGCTGCTCATCTCCCGTTGCACAACGAGAAATGTGTTTTTTTCCAAGCTCATCTAAACACATGAGATGAAGCAATCATTGCAACTGTCACTTATGACTGATGCGGGGCAGAAGAGTCCAACCCCCAGTGCAGAAACAGTGGAGTCAAAGAAAGAGGAGAGACGTTATGCAGCCTTCGTGGAACGGTAAACTTTTGCATTAATGAGCTTTTTAACAGCTACAYTATCAGGAGATAAGATGCCCAATGGGGTGATCCCCAGCTGGCCAACACGGGGCCATTACTGTCACCAACAACCTCATGGGTTCAGAAGTCCTCACGCAGGACGGGGCCYGATGCTGCATCCCAAACAAACCCAGCACGCCCCGAGGTATCCAACAGTAACCTCCCACCACGCTGCTCCTCAACGAGCGCAAGGCAATAGTTGGTGCTAACGCAGCCAGGCCACCCCCTTGCTGGGGAGCAGCACCCRCAGAGCAGAGGTCACAAGGCCGGGAGGGACCCGGGGGGCTCCACGGCCCTTTCCGAGCCATAACGGGTCCCCGGGGCGCCCCGCAGACAAACGGCCGCCCCCGCGCCCTCCTTACCCCCGTCGGCCTAAGTGCCCTAATCAAACGTGGCGGCCGCGCAGCGGGACCGACCGCAGCCTCCCGCGCTGTCACCTCCCGCCGCCCTGAAGCGGCACCGGGCAGAAACGCAAACGGACCGCGACGTTTAACGCCCAACACCAGGAGCGAGGCGGCCGGTACCGCCCGGCTCCCAGACCCGCACGGCCCCCCCCACAGCCCGGCCCGTCACCATGGAGACGGGGGAGGGGGCGCTGCGCCACCCCCCCCGCTGGGGCGGCCCCGTGGGGCGGGCGCGGCGGGGCGCGCTGAGGGGGCGGCGGGGCCGGGGGCGGCCGGCGCGGCCCCGGGGCGGCCCCATTGCATCGCATGGCGGCGCGTCCCGCCGCACTCACCGCGCTCTGCTCCGGCTGCTGCCGCTGCGCCCGCGCCAAGCCGGAAGCGAGGGGGAGGGCGAGCCCGCCTACCGGCGAGCGCCACTTCCCGCGCGACCGCCCCGCCCGCGCCTCAGAGCGGCCGCTTCCTCCTCCCGCCGCCCCGCGTGCGCGCACGTTACGGCTGACGTCATCGCCGCGCGACGCAGCAACGGCCTCAGGGGCGCGGGCGCAGGTGGGGGCGGCGGCGGCTGCCGGGGGCCTCGCTGCGACGCGGGGCGCGGGACGGGGCCCGACGGGCCCCCGGCGGCTCGGGAGGCCTCGGCCGCGCCCGGGGGCGGCGGTTTCAGGGCTCCCCCTGGGCCGGGACGCGTCGCGGGTCTCAGCGGTTCCCAAGGGCCGGGCGCGCTCGGCGAGATCCCGGGGAGGGCCGGGCTGCATCGTCGGCTTTGCTTTCAGGTGGAGATTTTTGTTTAATTCTCCCTGAAATGGGCAAGCTGGGGCATCGCTGGCAGGATGATGTGTTTCCACCGGTGGCATTTTGGGGGGAAGGAATCAGATCTGCCAGCGGGAAAGCTGGAAGATTTCTTGTGCACCCAAGATGTTTTTGAGTGACCTTCCTCAGGACAATTTTTGTTCATTTATAAATAGCCACGTCCTGTCAGAATCTCACTTCCAGAAGCTGAAAATCTCTAAATTTGGTGTTTCCCTCCGTTCAGCCTCCGGAGGCCCTCGCCATGGATTACCTCTCCAGGCCCGGGCTGCTCAGCGTCATCGCGGGCGTCGCRTGCGGCGTTTGCCTGGGCTGGGGCATTCGCGGGAGGCTCCTCAAGGGGCCCAAGGTGAGAGCGGCCGCAGCCCCCAACGAGCTGGGGAGCGAAGCCAACGTCATGGGAGAGTCCGGGGAGTTCAAGATGGTGCTGGTCGTCCGCAACGATTTGAAGATGGGCAAGGGCAAAGTAGCCGCCCAGTGTTCGCACGCGGCCGTGTCTGCCTACAAGCAAGTGCAGAGGAGAAACCCCGACCTCCTCAAGCAGTGGGAGTACTGCGGGCAGCCGAAGGTGGTGCTCAAGGCTCCCGATGAAGAGGCTCTGGTGCAGCTCCTCGCAGACGCTAAACAGCGGGGCCTGACCGTGAGCTTAATACAAGATGCAGGTCGTACTCAGATAGCGCCAGGCTCCCGGACAGTGCTCGGAATTGGGCCGGGACCTGCCGATGTAGTAGATAAAGTTTCTGGTCATCTAAAACTGTTCTGAGCTAGGGACCAAGGAAATGTGAGTGTAACAGCGTACTTGAATATCAAACCAGTAAAATCCAAATTTGCATTTTTTTCTCAAATGCCCAGTATAAATAAAGTATCCCTTTTGAGTAAAACTTCTTGGTGTGAAATATGTTTTGTAAGGTTAATATTAATACTGTAAGTTTCTCTCCACTCTCTATTGCTTTCTGAAATGGAAAGAAAACGCTAGGCCTGAAGTCGAGCGAAGTAAAACTGCAGGAGGTTACTGCTTGTAATAAGAAAGAACCTGATATTTTTGTATTGTGTAATCAATTAAGGATCTTAAACTGTCTGGTTTCCTGGGTGAACAGAAATATTAGAGGAGCATAAGTGACTTTCTCATGAGCTAATAAGGCTCTCAGTGCCTTACACGATGACTTTTTTTTTTGAAGGGATGCCTTCTTTAACTGAAAAGAGGTTAGCTGCTAAAGCAGGTCAGAACTGTGCTGTGCAAACCGAGAGCTGGAGCCAACCTACTGCCTCCACAGACAGCTGCTAATAGGTAAGTGATGCARTAGTGTGCAACCAGCATGAGACCCAACAAGTTAAGACTAGTTAAAGCCTGTGTTTAAGAACTAGTAAACAATTCTGAAGGGAAAGAGCCCTGCCTATTTTGGCCATGTTTACAGAGCTGCTGTAGTGGCAGAGAAGAGCAAGCAGGTCAGTATTTCCCTTTAGATAATGYTATGGGGAGTTATCCATACATTCAAAGAGCTTGTCATGGAGGAACCAACTCACAGGAATTGCTGCAGTGCTCAACTGACAGCATCACATACTGCAAGCAKGGAGAGCCCCTGAACAAGAAAGGGAAGTTGTCTGCAAAGCTGGAACCTGACACTGAAGAAGGCTCCTGCCTGAAAAACTTCCGTAATCACTCCCAATAGGGACAGTCCTATACACTCAAATATGACAGTATTCATAGACAAACATTTAAGTCAATTTTATTTGAAGCTAAATATATTTAAGGCAACTTACACACCTAGAACATGATCTCAATTTAACTGACACACCTTACTACAATCCTAATTTATCACCTGGTCATAGATGCTGGAGTTGGCCACAACAACGCAGCCAACTAGTGAAAAGTGCTATTTTTTTTTCTTCTCTGGAATAATCTTTCTCTAGAAAAAGCAATACATATTTTCCTTGAATTATCTCCTCAGTGCAAGACACCACTCCTGGTTTCTCCATTTCTGCTGTTCTAATTGGCCCCTCATCCCCTTGAATGTATGTATGCACTTGGATGCCCACACTACTAGCATTGTAATAGTTAGCTTGAGCTGGAAGGTCCTTTTTGAAGACAGTAAAGTGAAGCTACCACTGTGCAGCATGTCCACAGTCCAGTAATTTATTTTTAAATTGCGTAATTTCAAATTGCACAAACAAAACTGAACAGCAATATGCTTGAATTCTCTCTTCTGTACACTCAAAACAGTGATCTAAAACACCACAATATCCAACATACACAAACCTCAGGGCGGGGTTAGTAAATACACAGATTGGAATCATGGTGCTCTGTTCCTGAATGGAATGTCCCACAAAAGCACAGGATACAGCACAACATAAGGTCATCTGTTACATATGGAGTGAGCAAAAAGACACTAGCATTTTCTATATGCATAACTGGAGAAACCTGCATAGGTTTAGGAAAAACTTTACTCATTTGAAGTCAGGCAAGGTTGTCTGTACGCATTTTAGGTTTTGAGAGCTATGCAATCCAACCAGGGAAGGATATGCTGATTAGTGTTGTCTCTTGTCAGCAGTCTTGCGAGGTCAAATACAAGTATCTTCGCCTTAGCTTTCTCCGAATATACAGTGAGACTTAAATGCATTTAGAATAGACAGTACATACTGTAAGCTGCTCACATACAATGAACTTAAGATTCAATATTAGAGTTTAACACTATAGAGTGCAAATCAGAATCTTCACAATAGACTTAATGGTAATAAGCAGTCCTGCAAAAGCCCACTTGAACAAAGTTGTTTAAACTATTCCCCTTTTAAAGTAAAGTCTAAATGACATGGAATGTGAAAAAGATTTAACATAAGTGATTCAAATAGTTTGCGCTAGAAAAAACAGTCCTTCATGAAATAAAGGTTACAAGAACACGAGGCAGAACTCTTGCTTTTCCCTGTTATGAGTTAAAGCGGGGAGGGACGGTGGAGTTTCAGTAAGAAAATATGCTAGCTCCAGACTGACTTGCACCTTACATGCTGTACCCAAAGCCAGGCTGAGGTTGCCCATATGGCGGTGCAGTGTAGCCATAGCTGAAAGGTGCTTGAGGAGGAACTGCAACACTGGGTCCTGCTGTCAACATTAGCTGTGGCTGACCTGGAAAACAGAACAATTCCAGCTTTACTCTTAGATACCAAGAATTCAGWCAGCAGAATTCCTACAGCTTCCTCACAGGCATTTGTACCTTCAATAATTACTCTCTTCTAACCTGCCTTAGGATCCTTAGCAGATAAAATGGAATTTCCCAGAAGACAGGGCCTCAAAAGCAGAAAGCGTGGCTGCAGAGTACACTATCAAATATACAGATCCTTAGATTCTTGAAACTATGGACAAGTAGCTTTAGAATACTGAGGAACTGAAAGGAGAACACTTCCTTTTCCTGAGACACTGGGCCTGCTCAGTCCCAGAATCAGTCTGGGTTTTTTTTTGATTAGCATTTCCTATTCCAATTACATTACTGACTCAGCACAGTTTAAGGCCAGAGTCCTGTGTTACAATGTGCCTTCTGCAGACTGCAACTCCAGTCCTAAAGCACAGATATATTTTCTAAAGCTAGAGTATGATAGTTCATTCTGGAGAATTAAGTCCTTGGTAAAAATCTGATCTTCGGGTATTTAAGATATTTCAATAAAATAGTCAAAATGGTTTGCATAGCACGTTAGGTCTAGATATAGTATCTAGACTAGTTCTTTCAGCCTTGGAGTTGCAATTCAACCATAGTAACTAATATTAAGTACATATAGATACAGCTGCAAGCTATGAGACTTTTGCTTTGGACACAGTGTAGATGTGATTACTTATCAGAATATTCAGTCAGACCTCCAAGTCATCACAGTCAGCAGCTTTATGGAAAAACTCCACAATTATTGCACAGTGTTTGGGGTGTGGTGACTACAGAGATGCCAGTCGTACACTGTAAGCTTCTTCACCACTGGCTGCAAGTCATATTTGTAATTCTTACTAGAAGAAGAAAATAAGCTTGATATGAAGGAAACACCCAGGAGGGAAATGATGTATATGGAAAAAGATCCAAATATGCACACTTCCAGTAAGTCTGGATKGGGGCAGCTCCTGTACTCCTCTCCTTCCAGAGGATTTTCCTTGGTGTGCTACAATGGTCTTAACATTTGTTAACCTCAGCAGGAGGATCAGAGCTGTGCTTTATTTCATGTTTTACGATACGCTGTTAAGAATTATTTCCCACTCCCTGGAGTCTTCCTTGGGCAAAAACATGTAAACTAAGGCTTGTCCATAAAAGCTAAATGTGTTCCTGATGACATATGAACTAAGATATTACCATAAACAATAGGTTGTGTTTCTGTAGCTTGCTCCTCTTCCTTTCTCAAGGACTCTGATGCATCCAGTTTATCCACCTGGAAGCAAGACCAACAGTTAAGGCAACTCTTCCAAAATAATGATACTTACTCATGGCAGAGAAGTGGAAAAGCCTTAGTGGTATGTTAACACCCATAAAGAAAAAGGAGACCATTTACAAGTTAAGATCAATTCAAGTAGCAATGTTGATACTGGTGCAGTCAAGATTGTCCATTTCCTGAAAAGAAATCCCTAATGCAGGGATTTSTGGAACATCTTTGAAAGCTCGCTCCAGGCTGAAGTGTTTTGAAGATCCCATACTGGAGTAGAGCTACTTTGAGACCAGTAGCTCACCCCTTCAACAGAGTCACTGTTGCTCCAACTGCTCCAAACCAGCAGTTTTAGGACATGAACTCAGATTGAAGCCAAACATCAGTTGGAGACATTTGGTTTTGAAACAATTTCCCAAATAAAATCCAGACCTGGAGAAGTTTCCTTGAATAGAGCATCGAGGCAGAGTAATCTGAAGTTTGCATTTGTACACAGCAGACTGCAATAGCATCTGACATGTCACTTGAGCCTCAAGATTTCACTTTCCAAACCCATTCACTCATGCAATTTAAGTTCAAATGCAGAGAATGCATGTGTATAAGACTTGCTTTTTTTTTTTTTCTCCCCCCACTCTATAATTGTGTGGCAGTCAGCCTAAACCCACAAAAACTCAACTTGTTTTCAAGTCTAACACACAGTAACAGGACAAGACTAATCATCTTCACTCAGTTGCACAGCAAATGCAATTTTGCTTTGTTAGCCCACCCCTACAGAAAGGCAAGAGAAGAGACTCGTTCTGTAGTGTAGTATCATCACTAGAACAGATCCACAGAAACTCATCGTTATTACAGCCTGAGTCCAGCCCTGAAACTACATCACAAAAATGAGGTATTGATACTCTACCTGAGAGATAAGATTTAGTATAACGTCAGAGACAATCATGCCAATTACTTTGTAAGACAGTAAGACAGCTCACAAACCTGATTAGTCTTTGATGTCATTTGTGCCTTTTATAAGGCAAGTTTGAAGACAGATTTCCTGTACTTACACAGGGTCARCATTTACTTATTCACCTATACAAACCTCCATGAGTTGAGCAGTTCTCAGTCTCCCTGTGCTACGTTAGCACTGCCTGCAGACGTGTGCTAGCAACTCTCCTTCATTTAGTTGCAAGTTAAATGATCCTGTTCTGCACATCTGTTGAATCTGTAACCTCAGAGAGGCATAAATCCCGGAAGGGGCACAAGTCCTGAGCTCCTGGAGTTCAATCATTCTCTGGGCTTCCAGGGCAGGCCTTTGAGCTGCCTCACACCAGTATCTGGCTGCTGCTGTCATTATCCACAGGGCTCTGTGCATGCCAGGGCTTTAAACACCCACTCCTGGGCACTGCGCCGAGAACTGCACTTGAGCTCAAGTAACGCACTGAACACTGAGGCACGAGTTTAGAGATGCA